TTTCTGAAAAATCTATGAACTATGTGAAAGGTATGCAGGTACAAAGTTAAGTAATAGAAGGCTAACTGAGCTAAGAAAGTTAAGTAGGCAGACTCTTGAAGCTTTGAAGGTGAGATCGACTAGATCAACATCAAATGATTAATCCAAACGCATAGAAAAGGTCAAGATCAAGGCAAAGAGCTCGGTAAGGACTGGTTTAGCCCAAAAGGTGTAAATGCGTTTTACAAAATTAGTAGAGAATGACAAGCATGCTGAAATTGTTAGTGTGGTGATACTAGATTTACCATTATAGTAACTCAATATGATATCTGATATAGCCAATATTTACATATCCCGAGCACTTATTCAAAAAGGGCCTTTCTTCTATTTTGGTTGCCATCGTGCTCGAGCTTGTCGCGGTCTTTAGGAGAGAGGCATGTGCTTAAACTTACCTATTGCGTGATTAGGACATTCGTGGGATGCCCTCGGGAAATGTCCTCGACCTTCCTGGGAAAACTCGAGGACCCTTTATCTAACCTAAAATGATCTTTAAGTCCATAGGATCCTAAGCTTATCCAAATACATCAACTCAGGACTCCTACGCTTAGGAAAGACTCTATCTCAAATATATCGCTATTAAGTTATGATTAGACTTACAATCATAGTATTAGTCATATACTCTTCTCAAGTACGACTCCTACGAATAAGGATGTTCAACTAATTTAATCCTACTAGGAGTGCCCTACTCACCTCTATAAATATAGAGTTTCAATTCATTATTCAGGTACATTTTTCATTATTTTCAGTTCATAGCCTCACGCACAAATTCTCTCTCTAACTTTAGCATTGGAGAGAGGACGAGGACATACCTCGATACCTTTTTTTCAGGCATTAGAAGATCTCATTCGTGCTCATTCTCAATTGTCAAGCTCGGGAAGTCAACATGTATGATTTTTAGTAGCATCAATATCCAATTTCAAGTCCCACATCGAATAAAGATGAAAATATAGATCAACATATAAGAACTTGAATTACTCCTATTAATAATGATAATCTTTTAAGATGAAATCCAAACCTTAATAAATATGACTTTCCAGTCTTCCATGTGAATATATCCATCACCTCTCCCTTTCCTTTATGTACACGCTCAAATTCATTCAAATAGCTTGAGGATAAAAAGAACTTCTCTTAACTAATATTAGTGCTTGTTGGGGAATGCTTAAATTAAAAATTATACAAGTACCAAAGAAGGTGTGATAAAAAAATGGATATAATATAATAAATTGTGTATCCATAGAATATGTGAATAAAAAATACATTTGAATCGCTTAAATTATAATTTAAACTGTTGACCTTGGACCCTCCACGTGGCCAACCGATAGCTACTCCATGTATTCCTCCCTGCACTCAGTCAACGCACGGTTAGATGCACACGGTCGGAACAGCGGTGGTGGCGGTGGCCGCATACACTCCGACGGTCAAGTTAGCCTTGGGTGATCGGAACAATACCAAAATTGTGCAAAATAGTGGGGAGGAAGATATATATTTGCTTGCTATGGAAAGCCATGTTATAAGAGTTTCATTACCTTTGCCTCTTGTCAAACCTTAGGTATTTATAGGTGAGGAGAACTGTTGGATGTATAACGCGTGTACGCATCTGACAGTGTGAGGCATCTGCTCATAGGTGTCAATCAGCCGCGTCTATAGAGTAGATGGGTAATTATTCTCCCGAGTTGAGTTAACATAAAGTTGATACGTCACATCAACTAGGCTCATGGAGACGTCAAATCAATTAAACCTTGGGGGCAGAAAGGATCTTGACATAGATCTCTTTCTGAAATTGGCGGTGGATCCTCTGATAGAGAACCTTGGGATGTACAACGCCTTGGCTTCAGGGGCGAGGACGCTTCGGCCAGTTCAGTAGATTGTCTGTGCTTCACAGTGCGTTAGTAGATTGACAACATTGGTGGTGGCGTCACTTTGGACACTTCGGATGTGTGTTGAACACCTCGTATAACGGGGTGGTAGACTTTCCAAGGTGGTTAAGATAGGGGCGTAACAGTGGTCCCCCAAGTTCAGGCATGAATATTTATATCATGAGTGGACTTGTTTCCTGATCGGGTATATCCGCCTCAGGATAGGGACCGTGATTTGTGAGAACTTATGGGTCAATTTTCTGTGTTCGTCGAAGCGTTGATCTTAGGCAGACGCGGTAAAGATTCATTACTGCGTAAGGAAAGAACTTATACGAGAGCGATGTGCTGGTAACTGACGATGCGTCGGAGTTTTGTAAATCTAAGTAGGAAACGCAGATACCCAGGCGATGACCCACAGGAGAGTCCGCGTCGGTGTGTCTAAGTTTAGTAAAGCTGAGTGAAGAGTTCATCTACTGTCGGTGTGCCGACCCACGGGGGACGACGCGTTGGGAGATGGGTAAAGCTTCGTAAAGCTTAGGAAGGAACGCAGCTACCAAGGCGATAACCTATGGGGGACTCGGCGTCAGGTGTGTCTAAGCTAAGTAAAGCTGTGTGAAGAGCTCTTTTGCCACCGGACGCGTTGGGAGATGGATAAAACTTTGTAAAGCTTAGGAGGAAACGCGGCTGTCGAGGTGATGACCTACAGGGGCTTCGCATCAGGCTCGTCTAAGCTATGTAAAGCTGTAAAGAGCTTATCTGCCATCGGTGCACTGACCGACAGGGGACAATGGGTTGGGAGATGGCTAAAACTTTGTAAAGCTTAGGAGGGAACGTGGCTACCGAGGTAATGACCTACAGGGGCTTCACATCAGGCGCGTCTAGGCTTTGTAAAGCCGTGTGAAGAGCTCGATCTGAGGCGGGTAGGATCCCAGATAGTGTAGATCTGATCCTACCAGAACCTGATGAGCGGGCTTGCTATCCTAGGCCAGGGTGCGTGGCAATAAGCGAGGCGATCCTTAGGGCTGGCCTTAGGCTCCCAATCTACCCTTTCTTCCGTATGGTACTTAGGTCATACGGTTTAGCTCCTACCCAACCCGAACTTCTGGAGCCAAATGTGGGCTCCTGGATATTGTGAAAGGAGGCGTCGCTTGGGGTGGAGATGCCTTTTTCTGTATTCCCAACCCTCTACATCCCCAAGGTAGCAGCTGGGGGGATAAGATTAGGGGCTGGTACTACTTGACCTCTTGGGATTCCCACACTTCATTCATGCTTGATCTGTCGAGCTCCATCAAGGAGTGGAAGAGCTCGTGGTGATGGGCTGCCGGGAGATGGGACACGATGGAGGGAGACCCCCTGGCGCCTCTTACGGTCCCCACAAAGTATTCAACGCTTAGTGAGTACTGTGGCTTTACGTTTCTTGTTTACTTTTCTTTGGTTCGATCCTTAACTATTCTGTTTGTTTTTTAAGGTTCTCTTCCTCGGTGTGAGCTTTCCACCGACAACTTCGACATCATCTGCATTATTTATCAGCTGTCTTCGAAGAAGAGGTCATACCACCAGCTGATAAGGAAAAATGTCCACTTCGTGACGCACGATTTGATGGCCTCTCAAGGTAAATGTCCCAAAGCGAATTCCTTTCAGTACTTTCCAAACTCTTTACACTTGTACTAATCTGCCTGTCCTCTTGTAGATAACTTTAATAAGAAGCTGCCTCTGAGGCCAGATTTCAAACCATCCAAAGGTTGATGGCAGAGGCGAGAGCCCTAAAGACCTCCTCGTCTGCGTACAAAAAGTAGATGAAGGATCTGGTGGAGGCCAGCAAGAGGCTCCAGCCTCCCATCGAGGAAGAGGTGGCGAAGGACCCGGACGCCAATCTGCTGCGGAAAGGCAAGAGGCCTGCCGCCCCCTCGAAGCGCCCAACTGTGGAGAGGCCACCTTCGGCTTTGAGGTAGACCACAATTCCAACCGGGGTGGTCATCCAGGAGAAGAGGCCTACGTCTTCTGAGGCTTCTCCTACCCCGACTACATCGCCAGTCACCGCTGTACCCATTGCCCAAGTGCCGGGGCAGCCAAAGAGGAAAATGGCTCGTTCCTCCAAGGAGGTGAACTTCTTGGGCACCAATTCGGAGGAGGTGGTGAAGGAAGTGTTGGAGGCTCTTTCTCTAGAGACGGCTGCGGTGGCGGTGGTCTACAATAAATATTGGACCGAGAAATGGAGGGATCACACCGCCTCCTGCACTGCTGAGGACTTGGTCGCGGCCAACAGTGCCTGTGTGGCCCTTGTCTTAAGCACAAGCATTGAACTCGAGGCTTGGTGAAAGACCTCAACGCTAAGAGGGAGGACCTCGCCAAGCGCCTTGAGGAGGCGATGCAATATGGAGATATAGTGAGGGAGGCCCGGGCCAAGACCGAGGAGAAAGAAAAGGGAAGGAAGGAGGCTGAGGCCCAGCTGGAGACTGCCAAGAGGGACATAGAGCGGCCGAAGAATGAGCTCTATGAAGTAAAGTGTCAGGTGGCTGCAATTACCCGACGGGTTAATCATGCAAACGAGCACCATCGGCTCGCCACAGAGGCTCTGGAGGCCTCCAAAAAAGTAAAAGCGGAGCTGAGGCAGAAGGCGAATGCCCAAGCTGAGGAAATTGCCTCTCTAAAGGAGGAATTGAAGTCGGCAGGGGAAGTGCTGTACAGAACTTCATTGACCACTTCGAAAGAGCACCCCCTGTACGATGACTTTGCCAACTTTTGGGCTTCCTGGAGCACCCAAGAGATATTGGGTCGGCTGAAAGAGGTTCATCCTACTTTGGACATATCTTCGTTAGAGGCAGAGTTTGGTGGGCCTACTGGAGGTAGACCTGATAGGTTCGCTGAGGAAGCTCCAGAGGCCCCTGGGGCAGGGACGGCGGAGGCCAGGGCGACAAATGCCCCAGTAGAGTAGGGCTAATCAATTTTTGTAATGGCTTCGGCCTCTTTGTAATTCAATTCCCAAATGAATGAAAATGAAAATTTTTGTACAAGTATTGTCTCTTCTGTTTTTTCATTGTGTCGAGTTGTTTACACTTAAGTATATGAATGACAACCACTTAAGCGTCTATTACCAATAACCAGTTAATAACAGAAGATCGGATCAATTAACATATTGAAGAACGGAGGTAACAATTTACTAACCAAAGTGACAAACAACTGAAGTATCATTAAGGCATTACATCACTCTTCACTAAGGCATTTTCAGCACTTAGTAAGATAGAGAAGTTACAAATGAGATCGGATCATGACACGTTTGCTAGACATCATTGAGATCAGATCATAATACAAGCTCATTATTTATAGTACTTCCTCAAATGTTCGATGTTCCACTGATGAGGCAGTACTTTCCCTGCCATGTCTTCAATTTCAAAAGTGCCAGGTCAGGATTCCTTGCGAATACGGTAAGGACCCTCCCAATTCGGTTCCAACACTCCGGACCCGATTGACTTTGATGATTGGAAGACCCTTCTAAGGACGAGGTGCCCCAGACGAAGAGTCCAATTTTTGATCTTGGAGTTATAATAGCGGGTCATCTTTTTATGATACTTTGCTAAGTTCACCTGGGAGACATCCCTCCTTTCGTCAAGGAGGTGGAGTTCGCTTATTCGAACCTCGTCATTACTGATCTCATTGAAGTGTATTCAGCGGTGCGATGGGACTCCTACCTCAACCGGGGTCATGGCCTCGGCTCCGCAGGTCATGCAGAAGGGTGTCTCCCCTGTTGTCGTTAGGCTAGTTGTTCTGATGGCCCAGAGGGCATGGGGAAGCTCATCGACCCAAGTCCCTTTCGAGATGTCAAGCTTCCTTTTCAATGTATGCTTGATTGTTTTGTTTACTGCCTCAACTTGCCCATTTGCTTGTGGATATTAAGCGTCGAGAAATCCTTCTTTATGCCCAGTTCATCACATAAGTTTCGCATCTTCCTGTTGTCAAACTGTCTACCGTTGTCAGATACTAAGGAGTGGAGAATGCTAAACCTGCAAATGATGTTCTTCCAGATGAATTTGGTAGTATTCGCCTCGGTGATCTTTGCAAGAGGTTCAGCTTCGACCCACTTGGTGAAATAGTTGATGGCGGCAATGGCAAAAATCACGCTTCCTCTTCCTTTTGGAAGTGGACCGATGAAGTCGATACCCCATTCGGCAAATGGCCAAGGGCTGATCACTACAGAGAGGCTCTGAGAAGGTTGCCTTCGAATATTTGAGAAGCGCTGGCACTTATCACATTTCTGGACAAACTGACAAGCATTCCTTTTCAGGGCCGGCTAAAAGTAGCCTTGCTGGAGTACTTTGTGTGCCAGAGCCGTTCCTCCTGAGTGATTCCCGCAGATTCCCTCATGGATTTCCCTGAGTATATATATGGCTTCTTCGCCTCCTACACATCGGAGAAGTGGTGGGGCGAAGCTTCTTTTGTAGAGGATATCTTCTTGCAGGACGAAGTGTACATCCCTTCTTCTTAACTTCCTTGCCTCGCTTCTGGAAGCTGGTAGTGATTGGTCCTTTAAATAGGCGATGATGGGCTGCATCCATAACGGGGTGCCTTCTATCCATAGCACCTCTTCTCCTCCGAAAATGGAGGGCTTTGATAAGTGTTCAACGGGTACAACCTTTAGTAGCTCTGAATCCTTACTGCTGGCTAGTTTTGACAGGGCGTCTGCTTGAGTATTCTCTAAGCATGGGACTTGAATCAACTCGAACTTTTCAAAATGAAGAACTAGGTCTAGAACCAATTTCAAGTATACAACCATGCTACTGTCTTTGGCCTCGAAGTTTCCATTGACCCGACTCACTACAAGTTGAGAATCGTTGCTCGCTAGGAGCCTTCTGACCTGCATTTTCCTTGCCAGTTTAAGGCCTGCTAGAAGGGCCTCATATTCAGTACCGTTATTCGAGATTTTGAAGCCGAACCTTACTGCACAATTTAGCTTGTGGCCTTCGGGGATTTCCAAGACGATCCCTGCCCCGGAGCCGGCCTCTCCTGAGGATTCATCTATGAACAGTTTCCACGTTGGGGGCTGGGCTGTTTCCATTGTCGCCTCCATTTCTGGGGCTTTGACAAACTCAGCCACAAAATCTGCAAGGGCCTGGCCCTTGATGGCATGTCGAGGTCGGAACAGTATGTCCAATTCACTAAGCTCGATCGCCCATTTTAACAGGAGTCCTGATGCGTCTGTTTTTTGCAGCACTTGCTTTAATAGGAAGTTGGTGAGAACTTCAATTGAGTGGGCTTGGAAGTATGGCCTTAGTTTCCTTGAGGCTGTGATGAGAGCAAGTGCCAATTTCTCCATGTCTAGGAAACGTGTTTCGGCTGGGAGGAGTGCTTTGCTGACATAGTATATCGGTAACTAGTGCTCATTTTCTTCATTGATTAGGACAGCCTGATCGCCTCGTCAGAAACCGCCAAGTACAATAGTAGTGGCTCTTCCGGTTGAGGTTTTGACAATAGGGTGCCTCTCCTAAGTGCTTCTTCAACGCTTGGAAATCTTCTTTGCACTCAGAAGTCCATTAGAACTTCTTTCCTTGCTTAAGCACATTGAAGAAGGGCAAGCTCTTATCTGTAGCTTTGGAGATGAAACGACTGAGTGCTGCTATCCGACCATTGAGGCTTTGGACCTTCTTTGGTTTTTGAGGTGACCTCATTTCAAGCAAGGCCACTATCTTCACTGGGTTTACTTCGATTCCTTTTTGGTTTACAATATATCCCAAGAACTGACTCGAAGCCACTCTAAAGGTACACTTGAGGGGTTTTTACTTCATTTTATATTTTCTAAGTATCTGAAAGGTTTGGTCGAGGTGACTTACATGTTCGTTGGCCTGAAGACTTTTTGACTAGCATGTCGTCCACGTAGACCTCCATGGTTTTGCCAATGAATTCAGCAAACATCATGTTGACCAACCTCTGATATGTAGCTCTAGCATTTTTCAATCCGAAGGACATGACTTTGTAGCAGTACAGTCCCCTGTCTGTGATGAATGACGTAGCCTCCTCATCGGGTCGGGACATGGGTATCTGATTATATCCTGAGTATGCATCCATGAAACTCAAGAGTTCATGTCCAGCGGTGGAATCTACAAGTTGGTCTATCCTCGAAAGTGGGAAGCTGTCTTTAGGGCATGCGTTATTTAAGTTTGTGAAGTCTACGCACACCCTCTACTCTCCGCTGGGCTTCTTCACCAGGACTGGGTTGGATATCCACTTCGGATAGATGGCTTCTCTAATAAAGCTGTTGCGGCTAAACTTGTCTACTTCGTCCTTAAGTGCCTTGTATCGCTCCGGGTTGAGTGCACGTCTTTTCTAGCGATGTGGGGCATAGGAAGGGTTGATGTTAAGATGATGGCAACTGATCCTCAGATCTATTCCCAAGACATCCAAGTTCCTTTTCAGGAAGCTAATCATTTCTTCTTTTGCTTCGGGGGACAGTGTCTTCCCTATTCACAAGACCTGACTGGGGTCCTCTAGGTTGGTGAAGATGGTTTCAAGTTCTTCCATTGGGGTCGTATTTGGCTCGGAGTCAATGATTCAAGGGTCTAATTCATCAAGAGGGTGCCCTTCTTCAGGGGCTTCTTCCATGTTGACGTCTTCCTCCTGTTCGGAGGTATGCCCTTGTTCAGGGGTGTCGATCATTTCCACATCCAAATTGGGTTCGTTGGCAACTTCAGTTATGATCACATTAATAGTTCGGGGCTCCGATTTTCGCAGAGTTTTAATAACATGCCTTAGAGCCCATAGGTCGCCTCATACCGTGACAATCCCATATTTAGTCGGGAATTTCATAAACAAGTAGTGGATGGATGTGACAGCCCAAAGATCTTTTAAGACGAGTCTACCCAATACTCCATGGTAGGCTAATCTGTGGTTTACCACCAAGAATTTCATGAAGTGTTAGGCCACCAGGGGGGCTGAACCCATCTCGACGGGCAGAGTAATTCGCCCTCATAGGACGATGCTATCTTTAGTAAATCCGAATAGTGGGTCGGTCATGGGGATCAACCCATGTTCAATTTGCATCTTGTTGAAGGTGGAGCCGAACAATATATTCATCAAACTGCCATTCTCGACGAGCATTCGTTTGAGTCTTTTTCTTGCCACTACGGATCTCACAACCAGTTCGTCACAATGGGGATGGTGAACTCCTTGTGCATCTTCCTGAAAGAAGGTGATTGGGGCCATCCTATTGGCCTCTTGGGATTTGTTGACAATGTAAGTGAGCATTGGTGGGTCCTTTGCTTCCATTGTGTAATTCCTTTGGGTGTTCCTGGTGTTATCACCGATGTGAGGTCCCCAAATGATCGTATCGATCTCCCTAATGGTTTGGCCTACAGAAAATGGGGCTTGATCTCTCTGTCTAGACCCTCCTCGGTCCCTTAATTCTCTTCCCCGGGGTGACTTCTTTCTATGCCTTCTTCCTTCCCTGTTCGGGGAGGCGGATCTACGAGGATATTCGTTCCTTCTGGAGGGATGTCAGTTGCTTCGATTCAGGTGTCGATTAGCGTCTCTGCACTCGCTAGTGTAATGCCCATAAAGTTGGTGGAAAGTGCAAAACCTTGCCCCTTCCAAGGGCTTGTTTGACCGCTTCTTCTTCTTCTTTTTATTACTATCAGTTCCTCCAGATGGCCCTGCTCTGCCAGGAAAATTCTCGTATGCCAACATCGGGACTGCATTTAGCATGGCAAAAGCCAGTGCCTGTACGGAGGTGGGAGCTATTGTATGACCTGCTTGAGTCCATTGCTGAGTGACAAGGTGTGCTACGGGTCTTTGACCTACCTGCCTCTGAGGTGGAAGGAGTCCCTGCGCTGTACGGTTTCTGTGATCAATCATCTCTTCACTGACAATCTCAACTCTCATCATTTCTACTAGCTCGTCATAAGTGGAAGGATTCTTGCTGCGCACATCCCTCCAGAACAAAGTGTTCATGTTGAGGCTGCCTTTTAAGGTTGAAAGGGCTTCTCTGTCTGACCTGCTCGCAATACGTGATTTCGTCTGTAAACCTGACGAGATAACTTTTCAGCGTCTCTCCAGGGGCTTGCCTCATATCTTGCAGGTGTGTACCAAGGCCTCACCTTCTCTGCGTGAGAGGTACTGGTTCAAAAACGCCTTCTTTAAATTCGGCTAACTCGTAATGCTCGGGGGAGGAAGTCTGTTGTACCACACTTCAGCAGCTCCGCTTAGGGTTAAGTAGAAGGCTCCGCACTTCAAAGCACGCGAGGCTCCCCTGAGGCTCATCTGTGTCATGTACTTGGTGAGGTGCTTCTCCGGGTCCCCCTTTTCTTCATACTTGGGGATCTTAGGGGGCATGAAATTCGCAGGCATTGGAAAATTTCAAATTTCCCTTGAGAAATGGAGGTTATCATCATCATCGTCAATTTCAAAAGATCGACAAGGCCCATCGACCCTTCATCATCTCGAATGTTCTGGGGAGGTGGAGATGCTTCTCCTCGACTCCCCCAATCAACTAAGTCCCTTCTCTCCTTCCTATTTCTAGAAGGAGGAGGTGCTTGTTCTTACTCCTATTCTTGTCGAACTGATCTTCGCACTAAGTGGACCCTATTACTAGGGTTCTGCCCTATTCGGTCGAAAACGCTGACTGACCTTTGTGCTTCATATTCTTGAGGAAAATTGTCCCCCAATTGTGGTTCTGCTGGTTGGCTCCCTTGCACATAGGATGTGGCTCTGCACCCACTTCTCTTTCGAGGGGGCGTTTTCTGTGCTGGCTCCCATGGCCTTGGGAACGAGATGCTCGGACTTCCTGAACTGGATATGATCCTTGGGGATTTGAGAGCCCTGGTGACCTCGAGCTTGCATGAGAAGTTCATGCATCGTCATATTCTGGGCTGCGATGTCTCTCATGCCTGCAGCTATTTGATCCATCCCTTCGGTGAGCATGACTGTTCTTTTACCTCGGCGACGCCGGTGATGGGGTTTCTGGTGGGTGACATTGTTATGGAGCACCTCTTCTTCAGAGGCCTTTCTCGTAGGGTTCTCGTCTTTATGGCTGTAACTCATCTTATCTCTTTTTTCAAGGGTAATAAGAACTTGGATTATAACTCGACTTTGCTCTTTTTCAAGAACGTGCCCTTTTCAGGGTAAGTCACTAGTTTTCCAGTGGTTTCTCCGGTGGAGAATGCAGAACTTTGGACATGAAGTTTCCCACAGACGGCACCAATCTGTTGACCTCGCAAATTGGACCCTCCATGTGGCCAACCGATAGCTACTCCACGTATTCCTCCCTGTGCACAGTCAACGCACGATCAGATGCACACGGCCGGAACCAGCGGGGGTGGCGACGGCTGCATACACTCCAACGGTCAAATTAGCCTCAGGTGATCGGAACAATATCAAGGTTGTGCAAAATAGTGGGGAAGAGGATATATATTTGCTTGCTATGAAAAGCTATGTTATAAGAGTTTCATTACCTTTACCTCTTGTCAAACCTTCGGTATTTATAGGTGAGGAGAACCGTTGGATGTGGGACGCGTGTACGCATCTGACGGTGTGAGACGTCTGCTCATAGGCATCAATTAGTCGCGTCTATAGAGTGGACGGGTAGTTACTTCTCCCGAGTTGAGTTAACATAAAGTTGATACATCACATCAACTAGGCTCATGGAAACGTCAAATCAATTAAACCTTGGGGGTAGAAAGGATCTTGACATAGATCTCTTTTTGAAATTGACGGCGGATCCTCTGACAGAGAACCTCGAGATGTACAGCGCCTCGGCTTTAGGGGCGAGGACGCTTCGGCCTGTTCAGTAGATTGTCTGTGCTTCACAGCGCGTTAGCAGATCGACAACACTGGTGGTGGCGTCATTTCGGACACTTCAGATGTATGTTGAACACCTTGTATAACGGGGTGGTAGACTTTTCGAGAGGGTTAAGATAGGAGCGTAACATAAACTTTGCCAAACAACTAGCTTATTTTATCATTGTGGGCAAATAAGACTAACCGGGCTCTCTTCATATCTTCTCCAACAAATAATATCAGTCAAATTTTAAATTAAACTAAATTAATCTCCATACATTTCTAGTTTCCAAGAAGTTTCAT